TAGTTAACAGCAACTTAAGTGCAATAACAGCAATTACATCCAAGTGAGCTTCCTTTTTTTCACCATTAAACTACTTCTGAGACAAGTGAAGGGATCAGATAAACTACCATAAAATGATTTTAGGATAATGATGTCCAATTTGAATGGCACAAAATAGATCTATCACATCTTAATCTCAAAAACATCAACACCCCATTAAAGACTAAAAACGTGAGGTAATTAATGATGGCTTTTCATTTCCTCCCTCCAAAATTGTTGTATTTGAATTAATTTCCACTATTAAAATAAAAGCAAGGAGTCTGAACATTAGTAAATTATCCCTCCTCCAAGGAAAGGATAGCAATTCGCTTTTAAAACAACCAACAAAGATAAAACTATAAAAATTAAAAGCTTAGAAATAACCAAACTTTTGCTGAGATCCACTTTCATCTTAAAAGTTGGTTTTGTAAAACCATGAGTTAAACTAAAACTAATTCTTCCCCAGAAATTGAAGATAAAAGTTCTCCCTTTTCCTTTGACCCCTCTTCTCTCCATAAACTGACCCAAATGACCCAAGCCCTTGTCCTTACTTGTTACTTCATTCATGGATATTGAGTTGTTAAAGGAAATTCAAACAACACAGCTCCCTACGAATGTAAAAAAGCAAGAGCAAGTAAACTATATACATTTTTAAATCAATGCATTCACTATGTTTGACAAAATACAAAGATTTGGGAATAAAACAACATCTACACAGAGTAATACCTCTGTTTAAACAGAATTTGTAAAATTCTTGGCTTTTACCTCTTAGGAACATTTTCCAAGCTTGCACTTGTAATTGAAGTTGTGTTGATAAACTATGAGCTGAGTTTTTAATTCACAACAACTTTCCATTGACTTTTTCCCCTATTAAATTTAGCAAGTACATAAAAAAGAGAGCTTCCTGTGTGTGTGGAAATGAGGGTCTTTTCTCACAAAATTTCCATTGTTTTATAAGGCTAATTAAAAGCCGTTCTCATTTTATTAACATGACGAAGTGGAGGCCCTAGAATAGCATTAAGTTAGACGAAAGGCTGTCTCACTTTCTCTGCTACCAAGAGACCCCGAAAGACAGGCAACAGTGACTATCATAAAATAAAAGGTCATCCTTTTTCTAGGAACAAACCATTTATCAATAGAAAATAATTGTCTTGCCATTTGCAAGGGCTCCTCAGCAATAGGCAATGTTTTTGGCTCACATAATTACAAAACAGTGAAAGTTCAGAAACACAGCCTGAATCCACCTCCCCATTTTTACCCTTTACAATTCTCATTGCCCTTTGGGCCTCTGCTTGGAAGCAAATGGAAGACAGGCTGAAGTTTTCTCAATTGAGCTGAAGCTAAGAAACCTTTGATATGCTAATAGCCCCCTTCAAACGGTAAGAATTCACACTTGCATTAATTCAAACAATTTGTGCAGAATGATGTGAAATGGCACCTCTTTTAGAGGCAAGCAACAAAAGGAGAGAATCGGAATGTCTGAAGAAACTAAACAACAGAACATTTGTTCTGTAGTATTCTCTCTATCATGCATAAATTTATGGGAGGGTGAAGGGAGAGAAAATAAAGAAGTTCCATAACACACCTGAACTTAAAAGGATTTTCTTCTAAAGGGTTTCTCGAGCATTTTAAGAATACTCAATTTAAAGTTACAAAGTTACCTTCAGCCATGTCAAGATAGTCCCATCCAACCTGGATCGAAGCCACAGACACCACAGAAACTTCTATTTTTCTGTTATGGACGATTACTGACTCTGTAATGCCTATCTTGTAAGATGTGCCCCAAATCAAAGGTGATGTGGCAAGAGATATCCCAACAGGTAAACGATTTACCAAGCAGTGGGGGGGGCGGTTCTTCGCCGTGCACTTGAGTAAGGAGAGTAAACTCGGTGGGGCCAGCTTCAGACATAAACACGGAGAGGGAAATGAATGAACAAACTAAGTCGGTTAAATCTACGCCTCTGGAAAAGGGAATAGAGAAGCATACATAATGTTCAAAAAAAACGCAGAAGGGAATCAAAGGATGGGGGAGGGCTGAGGAGGAGCGCGCCTCAGAACCTGGCCTTTGTAACGGGAACCATATGCTTGGTGGCTGCAGCCCAGACGCTCCCAGGCTGCTCCGAGAAGCTGCTAAGCAGCCTGACACCTTTCAAGAAACAGAAGGAAAACATTCCCGGGTCTGAATCTGAGGCAGCGCAGTTCGCACTGGGAAGAACCGAGCAAGGGGGCAAGGCAGAGGGAAGCAAAGGGTGAAGGGGACAGGAGTACTTAGAAACCGGTATAGGTTAAGACGGTTACCGCAGAACTCGTCCCTCCAACTGTGCTTTTAGAGGACAGAGGAAAGTGAGGACAACACACACACACACACACACACACACACACACGCACGCACACACGTATCTATGTTAGACAGACATATGGAAGCCTCCGCTCAGGGACGCTGTGACACTAAAGGTTCCAGCGATCTCTCAGACCCAAACCCCTTACTTAGTTCAGCCAAAGGAACAAACTTTACTAGTCCCAGGCGAAGGAGTCTTGCAAACGAGCCCGCACACCCGGCTCGTCCTCTCCTCCGTCTGAGGGAGGCCACAGCCAATCTAGGGTCCCCGCCACTTAGCCCGGGGTCGCCCCTTTGCTCGCGATTCCCGCACGTCTATCCCAACGTGTCAGCCCCATCCTACAAAGCCGGCTC